GCTGTCAGCTCTGACTGTGACCCCAAATCAGATGGACAGCCTCCTCCCAACACACACGCTCTGGGTCAGAGTCTGCCTCGACCAACTGACCAACCACCGTTTGTGAAAACCCACCTGCTGCCGTCTAAGGCACTAATTCAGCTTCAGGGACCGGCTGGGAAGAGGGAGGGGGAGGGGAAGGGGAGGGCATGGCCTGAAAAGCGTGGGGCCCTTCTGAGCGTGGGGCCCTGCACCCCATGAAGCTGGTTCTGTTCCTCCCTGCCCCTGGGTCCTCACGCCAGGGCTCGGGGTCCCCACAGCCTCCCCATCCCCCCGCCCTGTGCTCCCACTACAGTGACTGCCTGGCATGGTGCCTAGGACTAAGGAAGACAGCTATATCGGCTACATTAATCCTAACAGAGAAAGTCAAGCCCAGCCAGTGTGGCTCAATGGTTAAGCATCGACCTATGAACCAGGAGGTCATGGTTTGATTCCCAGTCAGGGCACATGCCCGGTGGCAGGCTCGATCCCCAGTGTGGGGCAGCTGATCAATGATTCTCATCATTGATGTTTCTATCTCTCTCCCTCTCCCTTCCTCTCTGAAGTCAATAAAAGTATTTTTTTTTTAATTAACAAAAAAAGGAAGAAAGGCTGGAGAAATACAACAGGAGCTTGGGGTTTCGTTGCCAGTGGCTGTGACGAATGTACCTGGGCCACGTGAGACGCTAACGTCAGGGGCGACTGGGGGAAGGCACAGGGCAGGAAGCCGCTGGCATTAGCTGGGCCTGTCCCGTGAATCTGGAATTACTCCAGAATAACGAATGTGCGGGGTGGGGGGAGCCTGGAAAAGTTGTTCCTTATGGAAAAACACGCAGGTTACAGTGAGACAGTAGCTTTGTTCTTTCAAAAGAATGCCACACCCAACTGTGAGCCGGCTTGGCCACCCCAGTATGAAAAAGCCCAATCTGCCTTCTACTGGGGGAGGGGCTGGCGTGGTCTCTGGAACCCCTCGGGGTTTGGGCTTGCACATTGGGGGCCTGGAGCTGACGCTGGCATGGGACAGGGAGGAGAACCTGGAATTCCCAGCCTGGGCGGGGGCGGGCGGGGCGACGGCAGGACCGGACCAACGTGCGGGCTGCAGCTGGTGACGCGGCTGCACGTGGTTTATCGACCCCTGGTTTTGTAAAAATAACTTGAGCCCATCTATAAAAAGCAGTTGATCTCATATTGAAATGGAAACTTCCGACTTCTCTGGAAACAGCTTGAGATCTGCCAACCGGCCTTCCTGCGAGGCCGGAGGCTGGAGCCCGGGCCCAGCCGTACCCTTGGACCAGAGCTCCCTTAGCCACAGTCCCCACCTCCCCCTCTCCTCACCCATCACTGACGCGGAGCTCTGGTTGCCATTTAGCTTCAAGCTTGCGCCAGATTCTGTTTTTAGTGGAGCAGGGAGCTCTCTCGGTAACCACGGCAGACACTGAAAAGCAAGGCCACCCGAAGGCGGTCCGCGGCTCCACACAGCCGGCTGGCGGCCCTCGGGGCAGCTGCGGGCTTCCTGGGGACGTGTGTTGAGAACTCGGGTCTAGTATTTGATGCTTGGCCTTGGCTGCAATGCCGACACGCCCTCTCCAGCTTCCCGCTCACAGGGGTCCTGTGGTTGGGGTCACACACACACACACACACTCTCATCAATGTTTCTCCCTCTCTCTCCCTCTCTCTTTCTCCTAAATCAATAAGAACTTTTTTTGTTTTTGTTTTTATTTATTTTTTTTTATTTATTTTTTATTTTTTTCTTGTTTTTGTTTTTAAAAGAATCAAGTCCTGGCAGCTCCAATCCGAGTGAACCTTGAAAGCATGACGCTTAGGGAAAGAAGCCAGGCACAGAGGACATTGTAGGATTCTACGGACACAAAACGTCCGGAACATGCAAATCCGTGGGGACAGAAAGCAGAGGAGTGGTTGCCGGGGCTGGGGTAGGAGGACTGGGAACGACTGTGATGGGTGGTGACTTCCTTCCGGGGTGATGAGAATGTTCCGGAACTAGATGCAATGCTGGTTTCAGACATCGGGAATGTACTGAAAGCCACCGCAGCCTATGCCTTAGGAAGCTTTAAAAGGCGCATTTTTCTCTCTAAAACCAGCCACTCCTCCTGCTCCGGGCGGAGAATGAGGACTTCTACCTCCCCACCCCCACACCACCGCCTCGTACCCAAGAGAAAAATCATCGCGAGGAAGATTCGGAGCTAAATTGTGGGTCGAAACCAGAGGTCACCATCCAGGGGCCCAAGGACTTGCTTGGTTTGGCCAACTTGTATTTTTGAAAGTTGGAACTAGATGCCTCCAGTTAACACTGGGAGATTTCCACATGTGGTTGGCCAACTTCCCTTGAAAAAGTGGGGAACCAGGCCCCGTGTAGACACATTTCCTTGTGGTGAAAGTGGGCACAGCTGAGCAGCCGGCGGCCCCTTTAAAGGGGGAACGAGGTCTCCATTTCACCACAGTCCCCACCGCTCCCTAATGTCTTACAGCTGGTTCCATGTACGCACTTGTGCCCCCCTTTGGCCTGTGTACTCCTCTGGGCACACCTGCCCCTGGTGTAAAGGGGTGCGGGTGGGGGCTCCGCCTCACAGCTGAGCACCCTGTGCAGCCCACCTACCTGTTCAGCTCTACCAGGCAGCCTGGTGAAGAGGAGGCGGACGGATGGAATCCGAGCCCATTAGCTCCGGATGCTCCCGGGGGCAGGGAAGGTCTCAGCCAGACTCGGAGAGAAAAGCAGACCTGGGGGCTTTGCCGGGGGGAGGTGAGGTCCGAGCCCTGGCACGGCTTCCGTGGGATGGATACGGGAACACGCCACGGAGGGACCAGCATTCCTGTCGCCCAGGTGCGGTGCTTGGCCCCAGGCGCCCACCTGCAGCGTCCTCCCCGGCTCTGCAGCTGGGGAGCCGCACTCAAGGCCCTGGGTTTCTGTCCCTGGGGCTGTCAGCTCTGACTGTGACCCCAAATCAGATGGACAGCCTCCTCCCAACACACACGCTCTGGGTCAGAGTCTGCCTCGACCAACTGACCAACCACCGTTTGTGAAAACCCACCTGCTGCCGTCTAAGGCACTAATTCAGCTTCAGGGACCGGCTGGGAAGAGGGAGGGGGAGGGGAAGGGGAGGGCCCACGCTCTGGAGAGTCTGCCTCGACCAACTGACCAACCACCGTTTGTGAAAACCCACCTGCTGCCGTCTAAGGCACTAATTCAGCTTCAGCAGGCGGCTGGGAAGAGGGAGGGGGAGGGGAAGGGGAGGGCATGGCCTGACCCTGCCCCCAGCTGAGACCACTACCCAGGACCGGCTACACCATCTGCAGGGCCCGGTGCAAAATGAAAGCGCAGGCCTCGCGCAAACATTCGGAAGAACTTGAAGGCGGCAGCTGCACGGCATTTAGCAAAGCGTGGGGCCCTTCTGAGCGTGGGGCCCTGCACCCCATGAAGCTGGTTCTGTTCCTCCCTGCCCCTGGGTCCTCACGCCAGGGCTCGGGGTCCCCACAGCCTCCCCATCCCCCCGCCCTGTGCTCCCACTACAGTGACTGCCTGGCATGGTGCCTAGGACTAAGGAAGACAGCTATATCGGCTACATTAATCCTAACAGAGAAAGTCAAGCCCAGCCAGTGTGGCTCAATGGTTAAGCATCGACCTATGAACCAGGAGGTCATGGTTTGATTCCCAGTCAGGGCACATGCCCGGTGGCAGGCTCGATCCCCAGTGTGGGGCAGCTGATCAATGATTCTCATCATTGATGTTTCTATCTCTCTCCCTCTCCCTTCCTCTCTGAAGTCAATAAAAGTATTTTTTTTTTAATTAACAAAAAAAGGAAGAAAGGCTGGAGAAATACAACAGGAGCTTGGGGTTTCGTTGCCAGTGGCTGTGACGAATGTACCTGGGCCACGTGAGACGCTAACGTCAGGGGCGACTGGGGGAAGGCACAGGGCAGGAAGCCGCTGGCATTAGCTGGGCCTGTCCCGTGAATCTGGAATTACTCCAGAATAACGAATGTGCGGGGTGGGGGGAGCCTGGAAAAGTTGTTCCTTATGGAAAAACACGCAGGTTACAGTGAGACAGTAGCTTTGTTCTTTCAAAAGAATGCCACACCCAACTGTGAGCCGGCTTGGCCACCCCAGTATGAAAAAGCCCTATCTGCCTTCTACTGGGGGAGGGGCTGGCGTGGTCTCTGGAACCCCTCGGGGTTTGGGCTTGCACATTGGGGGCCTGGAGCTGACGCTGGCATGGGACAGGGAGGAGAACCTGGAATTCCCAGCCTGGGCGGGGGCGGGCGGGGCGACGGCAGGACCGGACCAACGTGCGGGCTGCAGCTGGTGACGCGGCTGCACGTGGTTTATCGACCCCTGGTTTTGTAAAAATAACTTGAGCCCATCTATAAAAAGCAGTTGATCTCATATTGAAATGGAAACTTCCGACTTCTCTGGAAACAGCTTGAGATCTGCCAACCGGCCTTCCTGCGAGGCCGGAGGCTGGAGCCCGGGCCCAGCCGTACCCTTGGACCAGAGCTCCCTTAGCCACAGTCCCCACCTCCCCCTCTCCTCACCCATCACTGACGCGGAGCTCTGGTTGCCATTTAGCTTCAAGCTTGCGCCAGATTCTGTTTTTAGTGGAGCAGGGAGCTCTCTCGGTAACCACGGCAGACACTGAAAAGCAAGGCCACCCGAAGGCGGTCCGCGGCTCCACACAGCCGGCTGGCGGCCCTCGGGGCAGCTGCGGGCTTCCTGGGGACGTGTGTTGAGAACTCGGGTCTAGTATTTGATGCTTGGCCTTGGCTGCAATGCCGACACGCCCTCTCCAGCTTCCCGCTCACAGGGGTCCTGTGGTTGGGGTCACACACACACACACACTCGCTTCTTGGGTGTGAGGCCTGGTTTCAGCCCTTGCCAGCTGGGAGGTCCTGAAACCTCTCTGTGCCTCAGTTTCCTCCTTTGTAAAGAGGGCGTGATATTGTATGTACCTTGTAGGGGTTTTGTGAGGATTACGTGATAGAGTTCATGCAAACCGTGTAGACCTGTGCCTGGAACAGAGCAAACAAGACCGAGAAAATGTCAGGGGGTGACAGGGGCTGTGACGACGACAGACCAGGGTGACAGGAAACTCCACCTTCAGGACTTGTTGGGGGGGACGGTGAACACATGTGAGCTGAGAGAGGAGTGAGAAGGAACCCACTGGGAACCGAGTGGAAGGAACAGTGTGTTGGGCAGAAGGAACAGCCAGTGTGGAGGCTCAGAGGCGAGAACGAGTTACGCTTTCTCAAGGACCAGAAGGGAGAAGGCCAGTGTGGCTGGGGCAGAGCAACGAGGACCAACGCTGAGGCCGAGAGGTAGCCGGGGCCCCGGGGCCACCGGAAGGTGTTTGCATTGGATGGGCTGAGAGGCTGTGGGAGGGTTTTCAGCCAGAGGAAGACTGATGGACAAGGGAGCAAAGGAACTGACCGCTGTCCTGCGCGGGACCGTCCCGCAGCTCCGGGGGCTGGCGAGGGTGGGGGCCTGGTCCTGACGGAAAAGAGCAGGCGGTATCGGCTGGGTCTCGGCTTCCCTGGGAGGCTCGGGAGCCTCGGGACTCAGAGGGGACAGGTCTCTATTACCCGGCACAGCCCCGTGGAGACAGACAGGACGTGAATGTCAGCACTGGAGGTCCTGGGGGCACCCAGACACGGGGGGGAGGTCTGAGACCCCCAAAGTCTCTCCACAACTACCCCAGGCAGGGCCCGGAGGAGAGCTGGGTCCGGTGGACAGACCGAACCAGGTCATGGGGCAGATGCCCCAGGAAGAGGTCAGAGGTCAGGGGTCAGAGGTAGTACACTTTATTGACTGGGTTCTCCCAACATCTTGCAACCTCCCTGCAAAGCCAGACCCTGGACTTTGCCGCCGTCCCCTCCACTGGTCAGGGGAGAGAACGGGCGTCCCAAACATCAAAGGCCTGGGAGCAGCAGAGTGGCAGGTGGGGGCAGGTGGGGGCGGCCAGCGGTGGGGAGCAGGGGAGGGGCTAAAGCTGGGTGCTGGGCTGGGGTCACCCCGAGGCTCTGCCAGGCCTGGCCAGCCCCTCACTCCCCCAGTTAAGGTTCGTAGTGGTTCACAGTGAGACTGGCTCGGGTTGGGCAGGCGGCGGGGGCGGCGGACACCCTCCCACCCGCCCTGGGCCTGACTCACGAAGCTGGGAAGAGGGAGAGAGGGGCAGAGGGTAGAGGCCTAGTTCCCCCCTGACCTCCCCCAGGCTGTTGGGAAAGGTCATTCATTCCTGGCTCAGAAGTTTCTAGAACGTCTCAGTGACCTTGCCCGCCATTACTCCCAATGAGAAAGTATTTTTGAAATCTGGGAGTTGGCCAGGGCCCATCCAACCAAACAGTAAAAATCCCCGGTGAGATCCTGGTGTGAAAAGGTGACGCTGCCTTCGCCTCGGAGATCAGGTGGGGAGACCGCGGCGCCCCCACTGCCCAGACGGGAGGGAGTGGCTCGCGGCC